TATACACAAGCAAAGCATACACCGATTGAGTGGTTTCCAGATGTCAGCGTCAGTTAACGTTAACTCCCTGTTCGCAAGGTCCTTATAGCATCTTTCAGGTTGCCCTTGCCACTTTGGTCCTCCATAAATCATTTTTAAAAGAGAATAATCCTCAGGAAGTGATTTTGCTTTTTATTGGTAAAACTAAGCTACTATTTACTTTTGGGATTACAGCACAGCTTCTTGCCAGTAGGCCACCAGAGCTTCCATAATATTTACTTAATTTTTTTTGGTGAGGTACTTTTTTAAAAAAAAATTTCTACAAGACAACTATGAGATATCATCTCACCCCAGTAAGACTAGCAAAATTTAACCTAACAGCAAGCAACAAATGCTGGCGAGGTTGTGGAGAGACTGGAACCCTTATTCACTGTTGGTGGGAGTGTAAAATGGTGCAACCACTGTGGAAAGCGATGTGGCGCTTTCTCAAAAAGTTGCAAATAGAGATACCATTTGACCCAGCAATTCCACTACTGGGAATATACCCTAAAGAGACCATAAATGGCACCCATTAGATATATGCATACCCATGTTTATTGTGGCTTTGTTTACAATAGCAAGGAGTTGGAAACAACCCAAATGCCCATCAACAAAGGAGTGGGTAGAGAAGCTGTGGTATATTCGCACAATGGAATATTATGCTGCATTGAAAAACAAGGAACTCATGCAATATTATTCAAAATGGGTGACCCTGGAGGACATTATGATGAATGAGGTATCTCAGTCACAGAGGGACTAATGCTATATGGTGCCACTGTTGTAGAATGAGGCTGACATTGGGATGGGGGTAAGACTGAGAAAAACTGGATGAAATGTGTTTACGGCATTGAAGTCTATGGGGGAGAGAGTATTTTATATTTTAGGGCATTATGTTTATTGTAAGAGTATGGAATGAGGGTTGCAGAGTGGATTATATTTGGGGGTTGGGGGATGTGTGTGGGGGATTACGTACCAATGAGGGAGTTTTTCTTTTGCGTTTGAAGGAGAGGAGCAAACGGGGGGTGCGGGGTGGGGGGGGGCGGGAGAGGGGTGCAACAATGAATGAATGGAATTCCAAAATCTCTGTAGATGTTCATTGAAATGAAAAATAAAGAAATTATATAAAAAAAATTCAAAAAAATTCCTACTAGTTTATTTACAAAATATGAGTACATTGTTTTTAAGAACGATGTGTGTTTGTGTGTGTGTGTACACCATCAAATCAGATCTGACGGGTAGAGGAGGAGATTGTCCCTCCTTCTGCAGCAGAGCATCTGGTGGATTCAAACCGAGAACAAATTGTTTAATTTTCCCTCACCCCCCCCCCATCAAATTGTACAACGCGATGATTAATCTCCCCCTTTCCTTTACACATCCTTATTCCTCTGCTTCCACCCTCTCCTACCCCTCCTGGATCCTTAAACTCATTCTACAATAATGGTTTTATGCAATATTTATCCTTATAGGACTGAGTTAGTTCACTCAGCGTAATGCTTTCCAGTCCCTGCCAAGTTAGGTAGTAATTTACAAAATCATTGCTCCCGCGTGCTGTGTAGTATTTCATTGGGTAAATGTACTATAATTCTCAATCCATTCGTTTGTGGTTGGACATTTTGGCCATTTCCATGTTCTTGCGATGGTGAATAATGCTGCTGTGAATCTTGGTGTAGGGTTCAGGGGATATTTTTGGCTTAAGGTTTAAAAATTATCCCAGGGTATTGATATCAGGAATTCATCCAGGTCACATGATTCCAGGAAGTGAGAATTCCTTGGGAATTTCAAATTCTGCTTTCTTCTTTTTTGATCAGTGTTCTTTATTGTTGTTAAGTGCTGTTGAGTCCCGTACAACTCATAGCAACATTATAAACAAAAGATCTGAACCCTGTTCTATTACTATTGCCATTTCTCTAGTATTCCTAGGGCATCCAAAGTCCTGTTATTTGAGAAGCATATGCCAATCCTGCTTCCAAGTCTATTTTAATCTTGGGGGTCTATCAAAATCAGTCATAAGTGTGTCAGAAACAATAAGGCTGGCACAGCATAAAGCAAAGTGTAGGGCTCAAAGACACTAACAACAACAACTATCTGTTCACACTGTGTAACCTTTATGGCATTTGACACAGCAGTAACAAAGCATTCAGTATCACAGAAACCCATCTCAGTATATCTCAGTGCAGGAAACTGAAGAGATAACTGCGGTACCACTGAGAACAATGTTCTCCCCAAACACAATTAACACCAGCCAACTTTTAAATACAAAGGCCCACTCACCAGGTCCTGATTTACTTAAATAAGAAGCTTCCAGCCCAAATTTGGTTATTCACTAAATCCAGGTTACCAATCCATTTGTTAAAATTTGTTAAAATAAAAAATTACCAAACAATTTACACCAACTATAAAATTCAAAACAGACTACTCTCCTGAATCCAGCTGTTTCATACAGTTTCAAACTGGAGACTAAGTCAGGGCCCAGCCAACTTTTGTAAATACAATGGCCTAAATCAATATTCTTTAGTAGCATCTAATTAAAACATTCAAGTCTTCTTACAGCTAAGGAGGCAGTTCTGTTCCTCCTTCTACTCCTGACTCTGTTTTTTCTCTCCTGCTCCAGGAAAAGAGGTGTCAGTGTTTTTACTTTGAATGGGAGTTTGCAAACTCTTAAGACTGGAATTGACACACTAAGGTGTTATTCATGGGATATACCTTAAAGCCATTGTCTTAAACCTTGAAATCCACATCCTATTGGGTCTTTGATTATATAGAAGCACCTTTAACTATTTTGTTGTTGTTGCTGTTGTAAATATGTTTCTCACACAACTTTTGCAGCCAGAATGCTCCTTTAGAGGGAAGAATGGCAAAGCTTTCTCTCACATACTTTGGGCATATTAGGAGGGACAATTCCTTGGAGAGGGGCATTACTCTTGGAAAGGTGGAGCATAAGTGCAAAAGAGGAAGGCCTTCAATGAGATGGACTGACATGGTGACTGCTGCAGTGGGCTCAAGCATGTTGGAGATGATGAAGGTGGCGTGTGATAGGACAGGGTTCAGATCTGTTGCTCCTAGGGTTGATAAGAGTTGTTCTGGACTCAATGGCACCTAACAATAATAACGTGCTTAAGGAGCCTTGGCAGTGTAGTGTGTAATATGTCTAGCTACTAGCTGAAAGGTTGACAGTTTGAATCCACCAGCTGCTCTGTGGGGCAACGATGCACAGTTATTTTCTGTAAAGATTTATTGCCTCATAAACTAGATAGGGGATTACTCTGACTCAAAAACAATTCCACAGAAGTAAATTCTTTATGCTGCTTTGGGGAAAGGAAAAAAACCATTTTGTTTACATGCTTGAACTTTAAACAGGTTTTGATGGTTTCTGTTCTTCCATAATCTGTTTTAAATCTAAGTCAAAAGAGTCAACTAAGGTATAAAAATAAAAAAGATGACTGGTACTTTTTTGGGGGTACTAATCATTGTCCTCTGAAGAGAGTGGGCTGTGTAAATACACGTGAACTAGCAATTTGGACCCTCAATTATACAGTATGCTGCAGTGTATTATTTATTTTATATTTAAAACACATGTATATCAGCAGAAGATTGAGGGGTCACCTCAGGTAACTTTTCCCTCCCTTTAGAATGAGTCTTGGCATCATCATTCAGTACAGTGCACAGAAATCTTGGTGGAAAAAAAAGAAATCTTGGTGAAAAAACATGTTTTTAAGGAAATGTTTGTTACTCTTCGGGGAATTCTCTATGACAAACAAACGTTTGTTTCCTTAGGGGAATTCTCTATGCATTAATGAGGCACATAATATATGGAGGCCTTTCTATCTTTCAGTATATAAAACAGCTCTTCATAGGGTGGCATAGTGTATTACAGGTTGTAGTAGAAACTGGAAGGTCAGAGGTTTGAATCCACAAGCTGCTCTATGAGTGAAAGACAATCCATCTCTTCCAATAAAGATTTATAACCTCACAAATTTGGTGGAAAGTCACTCTGAGTAGGTATCAGCTTGAGAGCAGTGGGCTTGGTCGATGATGATGATGATGATTAAATACTCAACCAAATCATTCCCATTTTGAGATAATGTGATAGAGTTTCACTTCTATATTCAGTTTATAGTTGTGCAATGGTAGTCATAACCCCTGATAAATTGTGGTCTGAGGCAATTGTACTGTGAAAAAAAATGCCGGAATGGAATTCCTGTCTGTACTGCTTTCAACAAATCTCAGTTCCTCTTGTTATGTTAGATTCTGACTCCTATGTGATAGGGTACAACTTCTCCATAGACTTTCCTGGCCTGTAATATTTCCAGAAACAGATTCTTAAGTCTTTTTCTTTCAAAGAGCCAAGGGTAGGTTCAAACTTCCACTTCATGGCTAACAACCTAGTACTTGACCATTGTCACACCACAGCTCCTTTCAGACCCTTGAAGTCACATTCATCTCTGAAAATGGGTGCTGGGAATTGGACTTCATGTGCAAAGACAAAGAAAAAGAAATTTCATCACAAATACTACAGCTGTATTTAATCTTACAAGTTCAAGCGTTGATTCATATCCTTGAGCTTTCCAATAATTTATTTGAATAGTTCTTTTCGAAGTCAAATTGAAAAATATAGATGAGATTTCACTAGCCATATTTCAGCTGTTCAGCTTTCACTTAGAGCTGGTGATTACCTTATTAGACAGCGCAACTTTGGTAAGTGGAAATAAACATACCATTTGGTTTTAACGTGCAAGGGGACTTTTTGATTGCCAAAGCAAGATGTCATTTGGGAACACTTCAGGACTGTAAGCCAAAATATTATGAGAAGTTTTAATAAGTTGCCATGGGTTTGACTAAGCACTACTTGGGCAAAGAGTTTCCAGAAGCATGCAGAGCTTATTCCTTGCTTCACCACGTTGGAGCCTGCTTGGTGGCGATGGGAACGGGGTTTGTGAGAATGGACTGTCTGACTTTACAGCGTGTCTGTGTTCTGCCTGCAGGCATGGGACCCGCTGTGCTGGAGAAGTGGCAGCAGCTGCAAACAACTCTCACTGCACAGTTGGAATTGCTTTCAACGCCAAGATCGGAGGTATGGGACACAGGCTACATGAGTATAGAGAGGGGCCAACAGCTGTCATGCTAACTGGTTTTCAGACATTTTTATGAACTAAAATCAGGCCTAAATTTGCTCTTTTGGTAGTCAGTTAGCTGTTTTGATAGCAAAATGGCCGACATTAATGTGTTGTTGAATGCAAAGACTTCTCAGGCAGTGCCCCTGAAGGGTGGCAAGCAGGGTTATTTCTTACTTAAAACAGGCATGAAGCAATGACTGATAGTGAAGGCAGTCAATGATGTCACTGTCCACTTGGTGCTTGGGGTCAGAAAGAACGAATAATATAAACACCAGGCATTCATATTTTGGGAAAGAAGTTCTCTCAAAACAGAAAATTCTTCCTTTTGTTTAGGCTTCACAGAGTTCCTTTTACTAGCAAATAAATTTGAAATGTTAAAAGCTCACATTATATAATAATATTCTTTTCTTTTCAAGTTCTAGATTATATATGCACAGAGGGTGCCCTGGTGGCATAATGGTATGGAGTTGCACTGTCTTTCAGAGGCAGGCGGTTTAGCTCTTCCAGGAAAGAGCGAGGGGCAGTCTCCTGTGCGACTTACAGCCTCTGAAAATCCCCCCAAACGTCCGCTAAGTCCATTCTGACTTGACCGCCCATAGCACAGTGCATCTAGAGATGTGCACACTTACTGCATAGACTCAGCCAAAATTGTATAAAATGAAGCAGTAATAAAAGCAAATGCTAACTCTCCAATTGTTAGCAGCCTGTTGCCAAGCCTTATACAACAGGGAGGGAAACTTTGGTACGAGGCAGCGGAGAGCCTGGTGATGTTGTTAGTGTAGCTGGCTTGAATGTCTCTCAAGGTCCTCTACAGAATTTTTTAAGGTGGATGAACTTTCCAAGACAAGAAAGTTTCTTCTTCCTTCTTCCTGCTTTAAATGGAGTATTTGTTTGTAAGTGGTTGAACTAGAGTTGAAACCAAAGTAGGAGAATGCCAATTCATTTTCGAGTAAATGCATATAGAAAACCTCTAATATTAAAGAGTTAAGGTGTCTAATCATGGGGGCTCTATCTTTATAAGATCCCTAGGGAATGTTCTCAACTTGACAACACCTAACAACAACTATAATGGGGTTAAGCAAAAAGCTTTCTGAGACTACACCTTCAATGTCAGTCCACAAAGTTCTGCCTCTTTTTTTTTCATTACACTTTAAATTGTAGAGTGAGGCAGTTCATTAACTAGTAATTAGCTGTACTTTAGTAACATCTGCTGTGTATCAGGAATGCTTGTGAAGAGCTTAGGAAAGGCCACAAGAACGATGAGGGAGTTGCAGACCCCAGTTGTCCCAAGAGAATGACATGCTTGCCGCAGCTTCCCAGTGCACCCCTTCACTGTGACAGCCTCTCCGATACACAGATGTGCATCCCAAAGCCCCCACCCAACCCTTTCACAGTCCTGTTGAAAGGAGTGACCTTTCAACATTAACAGATAAATAGCTGAGCCAGCTTAACAATACCTTAATGAGGGGAAAATGTATGGCAGTAACTTGCAAATGTTCTTATGCCCTAAAACAAGATCATTCCAAATTATGCGTTGAACTCCTCACCCTAGGCTTTGAAGATTTGAAGTTAAGTGAGGGAATAGAAGCAGCCTTTCAAATTTAAAGACTCAAAATTCCCATTTTTAATTTTCTGTCAGAAATGTTACCCTCTATTTATGTATTTTGCCAAAAGGACAAAGAAATCCATCTTGAAGGAAGTATAGCCAGCATCCTCCTTAGAGGCATGGATGGTGGAAGCTAATCACACATATTTGGGACATGTTGTCAGGAGGGCCTGTCCTTGGAAAAGGACATCATACTCAAACGATGGAGGGTCCGAGAAAGAGAGGAAGACAACCAACAAGATGGATTGACCCAGCGACTGTAACAGTGGAATGGAGAGCAACAGAGATAATGAGGAAGGGTTACCACAGGACACACTTCCAGCCTGTTTGTTCAAGGTCTCTAGAAATCATAGGCAGCTCAAGGGCACATAATAACAATACACGAACTTTTATCCAGCATTTTGTTTGTGGGCATCACAGAGCTAACATGGATTGAGTCAGTTTGTAGTGTTACTCCTATCAGTTGATCTTTAAGTTTTTCATTTTATGTTTTTTAATACTAAGAATATGAAGGAATACAATATTCTTTTACAAAATATGCAGGCAAGTTTTGAACATTCAAATCAAATTTTAAACAGCAACAAAAACATGGCCCTCATGCATGCAGGTCGTTCTGCTGGGTGCTTTCACAACAAACTAATGGCAAGCCTTTTAAGGTAATTTCTCCTCGATAATTTTTAAAGGACACTGTTCACAGTCTTCATTCTCTGTATTCCTTCTTAAAACATATCTCCTTTAAACATCCCAAAGAATGAATGAAAACTACTCTCTGAAGTTTCACTAAAATAAAAAATGTTTGAAAAATCCAAAAGAAATATGTTTTTGTTGGTGGGGGTGTTGTGTTGTTATGTGCCATTGAGTTGCCTACAACTCATAACGACCCTATGTACAACAGCCCTAAAACTTGCTCTATCCTGTGCCAATCTTATTGTCTCTGACACACCTACCCTCATTACCCCAGTCACTGAATCAATCCATCTCATCCAGGATCTTCCTCTCCTGTGCTGTCCCTCCACCCTCCCAAGCATGATGTCCTTCTCCAAGGACTGGTCCCGCCTTGCAACATGTCCAGAGTATGTCAGACGAAGTTCCAGAATTCTTGCCTCCAAGGAACAGCCTGGGCTCACCCTCTCTAGGATGAACTTGTTTGTTCCCCTACCAGTCCCTTATATATTCAACCAGCACCACAGCTCAAAGACATCAATTCTCCTACCATACCTAGTCATTGTCCATTTTTTGATGCAGAGCAAGTAATTGCAAAGATCATGGCCTGGATCAGGCACACCTTAGGCTCCAGACTGACATCCTTACTCTTCAGTACTTTGGAGAGGTCTCTGACAGCAGACTTTTCCCATGCAATTTGTCTTTTTATTTCCTGGCTGCTGGTGCCAAGCATGTTGATTGTGGAGCCAAGCAAACTAAAGTTGTTAACAATCTCAATCTCTTCACCATCTATCATGATGCTGTCAATCAGCCTAGTGGTGAGAATCTTTGTTTTCTTGATGTTGAGCTTCAGTCCACATTGAAGGCTGCAGTCCATGACTCTCTGTAAGAAGTACTTAAGGTCCTCCTTAGTCTCAGCAAGCAGGGTTATGTCATCTGCATAGTGCAGATAGTTGATGAGTCCACCTCCAATCCTGATGCCACATTTCTCCTCATAGAGCCTAGCCTCCCGAATACTCTGTTCCACATATAGATTTTAAAAAGTATGGAATTAGGACATATCCCTGGCATACACTCTTAGCAATTTTGAACTATGCACTGTTTCCCTCAAGAGCTGTAACAGCCAAAAATGCAGTGCTTTAAAGAAGGGGCACCTGGGAATATTTCATGTAGACTGGGTATTTGATGAGAGTAAGAGCTTATTTCCACTTTTTTTTTGGTGAGAATATATTACAGGTTAAAATGCCGTAATATCTGTGGTGTGGTCTTAAATTGCCCAACCTAATATTATATTTGCCCATAAAGAAAATAAAGCAAAATGTTGGCAGTTGTTGAGTATTAGCTACATAAGTATAAACAATATTTTTCTGTTTGTGTGAACTGTTTATAATTAAGAGTTGAACAGTTTAAAAATGCAAATATGGTATCATTTTCTTCAAGGTTCTTTTAATTTTTTACCAGAATTACTATTTCAAAACCATAAATCATCTAAAGTGGACTGATTTGGGGTTTGTTTTTTTTTTTTTATTTACTTTCCACTTATGATCAAGTTTTCAATTCTAATAAGATTTTTCTTAATAAGACATATGAGGTGTAAAGATATTTTAAAATAATGCAGTGTCTCGTGATGATATTTAGAGTTTTTTAAATAAAATTTTATTTTATACTGGTTTACTTAAAAGATTTATATACATTTTTTCCCCCACACTGAATCTTTCTCTTTTCCTTTACCTACCCATCAAATTATGTGGTCCTATAATTAACCCCTCTACCCATCCTCACGCCTCTGCTCCTACCCTCCCCACTTTGGATCCTCATATACTTTCTATAATAATGTTCTTTTTTTAAATTATTATTAAATTTTATTAGTTTTAATGAACATTTACAGGGATTTGGGGTTTTCATTCCTTCATTGCTGCACCATTCTCTCTACCCTCCTCCCCAGTTTGTTCTTCTTCCCCCAATTGCCACAGTGCTTGTCAAAGTCAGTTCTGATTAATCTCCTTTGTCAGTGTGTCCTTTGCCATTCCCTATCACTCCTCCCTGAGAGAGACTTCACCCTGATTCATAAGGAAAAGGGGATGGCGTATTCTCTTAGCTACTTCCTGCTGAAAAGGGACGCTGTGGGTTTCAGGGTGAAGATCTCTCACTGCTCTAAAGGGCCCCTTTGGAAGTAGGAAACACATAGACTATTATGGAGATTGATTTTGGAGTTTAGATGCATCCTTGAAGATGTATCGTGGGGGAGTTGCAACCTAGAAGACACAAATTTAACTAACAAGTTATAAGTACATGAGTCAAAAATTATGGAAAAGTAAAAGAAAAGATTCTTTCATTGTTTTACAAACCCTCCCCCAGGTCCCCTCCACCATGTAGCCCTCGCTCTAGTCTCCTGTGATGACAGAAATACCTAGTCACATATCTCTTTTAAACAGTTTTCTCCCTCCTCTGTTTCAGTGCAATATACATTATTGAACCCATCTTACTCAGTCTCTCCCCAACCCCAAGGACAGTCCCATTCTACAACAGTGGCATCATGTAATATGTTCTTAGACAGTATTTTTCCTTATGGGACTGAACTAATTCACATAGCAATCCTCCCCAGGCCCTCCCAGGTTAGGTAGTGGATGTTTAGTTTAAATAGAAAGACATCTGTTTCCTTAGCAATGAGGGGTTTTGTTACTGTTTTCCTCTGTTCATTACAGACATGGTTTATTTCACGCTAGTCTCCAAAATACAAGGGAAAAAAAGAAAGCCTGGTATCTGACAACTAATTTATCTTATGAGTATCTTGCTTTCTGTTTTCACAAAACAGGGTTAATAGTAAGTTGCTGTCTAACAGTAATACACTTAAATGAAGATTAATGACTGAACATTGCTAAAACCCTCTGAGAATTCTTTAAAGTGTTACATGCAGAGAGAGCATTCTCATTTATTATTTGACTCATAAATAACTTGGCAAAGAAGCTTTATATTGAGTTCACATCAGTCATCAGATGAGGAGATAATATTAAATATGGGGAAAATTAAAGCACCCTCAGTTGGCAGTTTTTCAAATTTTTTAAGACTGCAAAGGTCAGAATGTTTCATACCAATTATGAACACGAGGAACCTAATGAAAAGAAATTTGGAAAAGATGGATTGCCTACGGCACTCTGTCAAGTACTTTCTCCACGGAGGATGAAGAGGGTGAAAGATCATATCACCTGCTGTGGAGATGGGAGGCTTAGAGAAAGAACAAGGCATCCAGAATTTGTAAAGACCTTTCGCTCTTTTGCATGCAGTATAACATTCTTTGTCCCCCTGAAGGCTCTACCAAGCTCTGCATTATCCTTTCTTTGGGAAAATATGTCATTTAAATGTTAAAGTGGTAAGAATTTCTTCTTGCCCCAAAATATCCTGAAGCTGGAATTTGGCTATTAGGGTGTCATGTCTGGAAACCCTGGGAGCTGAACTTGTTTCCCTTTCTGTTTCTAAGGAGTGCGGATGCTGGATGGAGATGTCACAGACATGGTGGAAGCGAAGTCTGTTAGCTTCAATCCCCAGCATGTCCACATTTACAGCGCAAGCTGGGGCCCGGATGACGATGGCAAGACCGTGGACGGACCAGCTCCACTTACTCGCCAGGCTTTTGAAAATGGTGTTCGAATGGTAGGTTGAAGAAGCACCTAAGTCCTTCTGCTGTTTGTCCTTCATGTGAGCATGAAGTCACTGGGGGGAAGAAAAATCTGTGTATTTCTAATCCTCCAGTCTGAGAGGACTAGACAAAGCTCTTACACTGAGACAGTTAAAGACTAAAACACCAAACTGTTGCCAGGAAGTCTGTTCTAACACATGGCGGTTCTACAGGGTATAACTGAAATCTGCAGGGTTCCTCCTTACCAAGGCCACAGGGCTGTCTTCTACAGCCCCACTGTGTGCTTCAAAGAGCTTGGTTAGAGAAGAGAGCGAATTATTTCTGTCACACAAACCAAAACCAAAGTAATCTCATTGCCAATAAATTGTCCACCTTGTGGAAGTCCTTCTAGGACAGAGTAGAACTGGTCCACAGGGTTTCCATCGTGGTAAATCTTTAGGGAAACGTCTGTCTCCCATAAAATGCAGATGGTTCCAACCAACCACAGAAACTTTGGTCAGCAGCTAAACGATTAAGCACTGTACTACCAAGAAAAAGAGATGTGAAACACCAGAGTTGAGATCTTTCTGTTTGGGGGATGAGTTAAGACCTAAGATGTTTCCTGTGATGAGAATAGAGATATTTCTGGAAGTTGATGTTTGTTCAAAGCATATGTACTAACTGCTGTGCTAGTGCTGCATTTGAAGTACATTTGTAGGACTTCAACATTGAAGAGAAGCAGAGATTAAGATTCCTGGTTTATGCTGGCAGATTACCCAGCTCCCCTCTGGGCATCTCCTCTTTTTAGTCTCACCTCTGGCTCAGGAGAATATTCTTATGCTGGCTCTTGTCTCCCTAATTGGCAGTTCACCTGTCATTGTCTTTGATTTAATTAAAAAATTTACTAATCATCATTCCCCTGAAAAGAAATGGACCACTTAATCTAGTAATTCATAAATAATTATTTAAATAATTCAATAAAATGTAATAAAAAGTCAGGGCATAATATACCTATAATCATGAGAGGAGGAGGCCTCTGCCAAAAGCTGCAATTTGTTTTGTAAAACTTAATGGTTTATTGGCCTGCGGGTCACATTAAGCATATATTTATGTTCACCTAAGGCCAGTATTGATCTGGCCCCAGCCTCCCATTTCCTTCCTTGTCTCATCATCTCTTTTCACTGCCTTGTGATGTCAGAACCTCCTGAGGCCGTGGGTTCGGTTTTGGTGATAAATGCATAAGGGACTCTGGTGGTGCAATAGTAAGACATTTGCTTGCTAATCATAAGTTTGGAAGAAAAGTCCTCCCTACATGTTTTCCTAATGATGGCTAAATTAAATGAATTGCCATTGAGTTGATTCTGACATGTAGTGAGCCTGTGGGACAGGATGCTACTGCCCTATAGGGCTCTGTCATCTTTATGGAAGCAGACTGCCACCTCCTTCTGTCACAGAGAGCCAGTGGAGTCCAGCTGCTGGCCTCTCAGTTAGCTGCTTAGTGTTTCAACACTATATCACCAGGAAACCTTCTGTAAGATTTACCACCTAGGACACATTTTGGGACCGTTCTAGTCTACTCCTGTTCCACAATGGCGAAAGCACACGTAGCTCCTTTCCACTCACCAGCACACCCTTCGTTCCTCTGTGTTTGTGATTTCCTGCTCGTTCTCCATGCCACCCTGTCCTGCGCTGACATTTATCATGTTTGCATTCAGGTTCAACCAAGTACCTCTTACTGGCCTTCTCATTGCGCACACTAGAATTTAGCACAAGCATCCCCTACCCAGCTCTCTCTCTGTGTTCTTACTGATGACTCACAGCAACCTTGAGTTACCTCTGTACAACAAATGGACAGACTACTTAGAGAATGTTTGACCAAAAACAATTAAAATCAGACCCAAGGGACACAGGCCAGAGGGCCCAAATGCATTTTTAAAACAATCTACTCACACCCAAAAGTGAGTCAACATATAACTCTTAAAAAGAACCCATGGTTTCCTCATTCTTAGCATGGCACATTTGGCAATGAAAAAACAGTAGAGTACTGTTTGAAGACTAAGGAATCAACAGGATTGTTTTTATGTGTTTATGAGGACTGTGGTCCACAATGTGGATTGAAGCTCAATATCAAGAAAACAAAGATTTTTCAACACTGGGCCTGTTGGCAACCCCATGACAAATGCAGAAGAGACAGATTGTTAAGAATTTCAGCTTGCTCAGGTCCACAGTAAATACCCTTGGCACCAGTAATCAGGAAGTCAAAAAACAAAATGCATTAGGAAAATCTGTCAGGGATCTTTCCAGAATACTGATCCAGGCCATGATCTTCACAATTACTTGGTATATGTCAGAGAGCTAGACAATGACCAGTGATGATAGAAAAATCGATGTTTTTAAATTGTGGTGCTGGAGAAGCATATTTAACATACCTTGGAGTTGCAAGAAAACCAACAAGTCTGTCTTGAAGAGAGTAAAACCATACTTCTCCTTAAAAGCAAGGATTTTAAAACTCTGTCTCACATTACTTTAGGCCTGTTGCCAGGAGGGACCTGTCCTTGGAGAGGGACATCATGCTTGGAATAGTGGAGGGACAGCACAGGAGAGGAAGACCCAGCATGAAATGGATTGACACAGTAAATGGAGTAATGGGGGTAGGATGTTGTAGTCAATGGGACTGACTCGGGATTGAGCAGGTTTCAGAGCTAGTGTATATAGGGGTCGCTATGAGTTGCAGTCGACTTGCTGGCACATAGCAACAACTGCACTTAGGCTTTGGAGGTAGGCTAGAGTTGAATCTAGAGACTGAAATGACCTTCTTTATGACTATATGCAGTCACGTTACCTGTCTGCTTTTTTTCTCGTCTAAAAGAGGAAATGATAGTAGTTCTTACTTACAGAGGTGTTGTGAGTGTCCAGTGAGATGATAATGCATGTATAGCAATTGCCAGCACCTAGAACATGACATGGGCTCACTATATTTTGTATTTCTATTACTTCTGGTTTTCTGAGATGAGTTTATTTCCTTAAAATAAAAGAAAGCCCAATAACGGTTGACCTCATACTCAGTCCCCTATCCTTCTCTGCTTTATCATTTCCAATTTGCTGTGTTCCACATGATTACATTGAATAACTTGTTGTGATATATTAAAAATAATATAAGGCAATAGAGACTTTCTGCATTCTGAAGTGTGACTTTGTATATGTGTGTATGTATGTATACACACAAAGATATATATGTATATAACTAAATATAAATTGAAGATAAATAAATGTTTAATTTTACTTGTTCTCAAAAGCTCATGTTTCATTTCATTGAGATAACCTCTAGATGTAAAAAATTTATTTCAGTTATTTATCTCTGTATCCTTGAATTTAGTTTTTATTTTTCCAAAGGATATTTCTCTAAGTATGTATAAATATAT